TTATTTTTGGGGGTGTTTATTTATTGAACACAGCAGTGACCGTTGGCATCTTTGAAGCGTAATCTCATTTTAGGTCGATATTTCTCCAGGTAAAGCAGCTGCTTGGAATTGAAAGCTCCCCTCCTTTTCCTAAAAAAAAAAATTAAAAATAAATAAAAATTTAAATTACAGCAATAAAAATTATTAATATCAACAGCAGTGGGAAAAGCAGAGGTTAATTGGTGTTTTAATCAGAATTTTTTCGTGGTGTTTCAATAATAAATAAGTGTTTAACTTCTTTTTTTCACAATATTTCAATAATATTTCACTCTTTTTTTTGGGTGATATTTAAATAATAAATAAATATTTCACAGTTTTTTCAAGCTATTTCAATAGTAAATTAATATTTCATTTTTTTTCCTCCACAATATTTCAATAATAAAGAAATATTTCCATTTTTTTCCACACTATTTCAATAATAAAGAAATATTTCACAATTTTACACATTTTTTTTACCTCAGAAAAATCAAAATATTTGAGGATTTAATTTACATTTAAACCCAGATTTGGAATAGAGAGATCTCCCATTAAAATTTGCTGTTAATTAATGAGGATTTTAGTCCCAGCCTTGACATTTTTACCTCAGAAAATTCAAAATATTTGAGTTTTTTCTTCACATTTAAACCCAGATTTTAATGAGATATTATTTATTTAAGGATAAAAATCTTAGAAAAACTTCAAATCTTTTCCTTAACAGACTCAAGCTGGTAAAAAAAAAAAAAATAGAATTAAATATTTTTGGGAGGAAAAAAAAGTGAATTTTCACTTACTGCCTTATAAACTGAACTGCATCCTCGTATTTCATGCCACACTCAATGAGAGCCAGAGCCACCAGGACAGGAGCCCTGCAGGAAAAAAAAAAAAACAAATAAATGTGAATAAATAATAAATAAAATTCAAATTAAAGATTAAAATTAATAGAGAAATAAAGAGAGAAATAGAGAATTAAATAGAAAAAATAAATAGAGAAATAAATAGAAAAATGAAATAGAAAATGAAATAGAAAAATTAAATAGAAAAAGAATGATTCAAATAAATATATAAATAAATATTAAAAAAACAAATAAATATATATAAATATTTCTATAACATTCTGGTAACATTCAGAAATTTCTGGAAATTTTCTGGAAAATCTCTGGATAATTCCTGGAAAATTTCTGGGAAAATTCTGGAAAATTTCTGACAATTTTCTGTCTAATTCCTGGCTCATTTCTGGAAAAATTCTGGGGAAATTTCAGAAATTTCTGGTAACATTTCTCAGCAATTTCTGACAAATCTCTGGTTCATTCCTGGCTCATTCCTGGAAAATTTTTGGCTCATTTCTGTCTAATTCCTGACAAATTTCTGACAAATTCGTGGCTCATTCCTGTGTAATTTCTGGAAAATTCCTGGCTGATTTCTGACAAATTTCTGGCTCATCCCTGGATCATTCCTGGATAATTTCTGATAAATTTCTGGTTTATTCCTGGCAGATTCCAGGCTTATCCCTGTCTAATTCCTGGATAATTTCTGTCTGATTCCAGGCTGATTCCAGGCTGATTCCTGGAGGATTCCTGGAGGATTCCTGGAGGATTCCTGGAGGATTCCTGGAGGATTCCTGGAGGATTCCTGGAGGATTCCTGGAGGATTCCT